TATGATTCCTAGATATTTTACTTTTGACACAGCCTTAATTTTAAGGTCTGGGTTTATTTGGCTAACCAGGCTAAAATGTGGCCTATTAGCCTTTGTTATGCTGAACGGGATAAAATGGGTTTTCGCGACATTTAGTGATAATTTATGTGAATCTAGCCATTGTTTTACCACATCCATCCCGTCCATTGCCTTCTTTTTAACCTCATCCCACGAAACCCCCGAAAAGATCAATGCTGTGTCATCAGCATAGGAAACAATCTTGCCGTTCATGTTTAACCCCAGCAGACACTTAATATAGCTTATAAACAAAATGGGCCCCAAAATTGTTCCCTGTAGAATGCCCATCTTAATGTTTAGTGAAGAACTTATTTGGTTATTGACTTTAACATATTGTTCTCTGTAACTTAAATAACTCTGAAAAATCTCGATCCCCTGACCTCTTAGACCATATTGTCTCAAAGAACTAACTAATCAATTGATCATGAGGAACAGTATCAAAGGCCTTTGAGAGGTCCAGGAAAAAGCCAAGCATTTTCTGCTTTCATTCAGGTTATTAATAAYCTCAGATGTCAGGCTGTACTGCAAATCAGCTGTACAGCAATTCTCCCAACAACAAACCCAAATTGTTTGTCCGACAGGATTTTCAATGTTTTAAAAAAGTTGACCAGTCACTTCAAACACTTTTCTAACAGTTTTGCAAAGTTATTAATTAAACTAATTGGTCTATAATTCTCTATGAGGTTTTTCGAGCCTGATTTGTATACTGGAACTATTAAGGACTTTTTGAATGAATCTGGAAATATTCCTGTTTCGAAAGTTAGATTTACAATATGAGATATGGGAACCAAAATATTGATAATTTTTAATATGATTTTGATAATTTAATTAATTTCGTGAAAATACCATCCAGTCCAGGGACTGAATCTATGCATCTGGCAATTTCCTGCTCTGTGAGTGGATACATATATATGGAAGCAACATTCGACCTTTTTTGTGGTTTTAAGAGTTTATTTAAAAAGGTTCTGTAGTGTTTGTATTTAGCTTCTAATGCAGAAGTACAATTTCTTAAAAGTGCTCTCTTTAACTTGTCTCTATGTTTAATGGAATTGATCAACCCATCACTAATCCAACCTTTAATTTTATTATTATTTTTAAACTTAATTTTACGTACTATTGTAGCTGATTTTTTTTACATCAAGAAATACATTTATACATTTATTAGTCGCTTCATTGGAGTCGAAACAACTAACGATTTCGTTCCAGTTTACCATAGATATTTTTTCTTTAAACRTCTCATAATTTATGTAGATCCCCCGATSTGGCAGACTGTTTTTTCCCTAGAAAAATCTCTTTCATAATTTATGTTCAGAAAAATTTTAGAAAACGCAAGAGTGAAAGCTTTGCACAAAATGTRTTTAGAGCAGTGAATTGAAGTGAAAAGTGGAATGAAGAGCGGATGATTCTTCAAAACTGAACTGAAACGCGCA